GAAGACGATGAAGCCGAGCGGCAGGCAGGACGCCTTCAGCATGTTCTCCAGCACCTCTCCTGCTTCCTCCAGCATCCTGGCCGGCGGCGGGGCCGCGCGGGGCGGCGGCGGGGACGGGACGGCGGCAGCGGCGGCTCACGCGAACTCACCTAGGCATGAGTAGGTGCCGGGGTCCTGCGGGCGCCGCGCCGGGCAGCCCGCGCCCGCTCCGGGGTCCTGCGGGCACCGCCGAGGGCCGCCCGCCCGCCGCGCTGCCTGCTGGGAGTTGTAGTCCGACCGGCGCGCGCTGAGCCACCTGGGAGTTGTAGGCCTATTCCGTTACTCCCCGAGAAAAGAAGCTGTGGTGGACCGTTTGACTAAGGTTTCACATAAACCCCAAGTCAGAAAATACGGAGACTTAAAAATATATATATAATCGGCGGAACTTACTGAGGCCCTGTCTTTGCTGTGATAGAAGGTGGAGGGGGGAAGGGGGTTGTGCAGGACGTGACCTTGCGACCCGGAGGAAAGTTGGGAATAAGGAAGAGAGGGGCCGGCCTGATGCGCTAGGTCTCCTGGGAATTGTAGTCTCATTGAACAAGCACAAGGGGTCATGGGAGCTGAAGTCTTCCTGGCAGAAGTTCGGAAAAAAAATCACTTAAAACTCCCAAGAAATATAGATGTTAACACCATGAGGGCAAAGACTTGTGTCTGCTTTGTGCACTGATGTATTCCTCAGAGCTTAACACAAGGCCTGGCACACAGTGGGTGGTTTATATAATTTTTGGATAAAAGAATGAAAGAAGAATCAAGAAATCATGACAGAAGGTTCCTAAAGGGATGTCGCAATGGATTATGGGACTTGTAGTCTGCAGCTTGGTGTTGTGCGGGGTTGGTGATATATTTATACTTAGGCGTATTTATATTTGGGACATACTCAGTAAAAAAAATAATATTCGTTCATCAGAAATTCAAATTTTACTGGGTGCCTTAAATTTGTATTTTCTAATCTGGCCCCCCTGAGAACCCAGTTCTCTCTGGGCCAGTGGCCTTAAGGGGCATCAGTAACTCACACCCCCTTGTACAGATGGGAAGACTGAGGCCAGAAGGTGCAGAGCACATGGCCCTAGCCCACAGGTTCTGATACCGTTGCCTAGGGAAGTGGGACTCCCTTCGGTCCCAAGTGAAAGGTGGCAGTTGTGTTGATTAACAGCATGAGTTCAAGTCCCAGCTCCTCCACTTCCCAGCTGTGTGACCTTGGGCAAGTCGCTTCACCTCTCTGAGCCTCCATTTCCTCAGCTGCCAAATATGATGATAAATAATCAAACACTCTTTCCCGGCTCCCCAGGGGTGTGTGAGGATTCAATAAGATAATCCACGTGAATGCACTTAGAAAGGATGAGGCATACGTGAAGCGCTCAATAAGTGTTGGTATTATGAGAACGCACCAAGCTCGTGCAGCCTCAGAGCTGCCGCATCCACTGTTCCTGCAAAACACTCGCGGGCCCCCTCCCACTTTCTGCATGGCTAGTTCCTTACTGAAATGATGTTGGACATTTCTCAGTTTGACGTTTGCCACCCCCAGCAAATTGTGACCTTTCCGCGGGCAGGTACCAGGTTGTTTATAGCTGCAACCCCATTGCCCAGAATAGAGCCTGACACACAGTTGTTGAGTGAATGAATGAATGAGTCATGAAAACACCAACACACCAGCCCCTCCCTTCCAGCTGTGTCCCTTGCTTCCAGCCATCCCCAGGCAGGTCCTAGGCATGAGGAGTCAGGAGTGGCTTGGCAGGGCAGGGAAAAGACTGAGAAATTCTGGCCCACATGGTCTTCATCAGCAAATGTTTATTACCTGCTTCTCCATCTACCCCCACTCTTCCAGGCCAGGCTATGAACAGGCAAGACATGCACACTCACCTAGAGATAAAGCAAGAAAGGGGCCTAAACTTGGCTCAGATAACGAGGCTTGGACTTTAGGGCTGCCCATTCCGCCTCCTCTCCTGAGCCTTTTTTTTCTGTCTGTAAAATGGGGAGGTTCAACTAATCCTGCTTTGTGGAGATGAAACCTTGGGGCAGCCCGAAGAATGAAATGGAACATTCATTCTGAGTTTTCCAAAGGAGAGAAGGAACTGGTATTCATTCCTTCATTCATTCATTTATTCATTCATTCATCAAAGAGGCAGTAACAGACAGGGATCCAGAAGTCACCTGTGGGGACTTCCCTGGCGGTCCAGGGGTTAATACTCCACGCTTCCACTGCAGGGGGCGTGGGTTTGATCCCTGGTCAGGGAACTAAGATCCCAGAAAACAAAAAAAAAAAGTCACCTGTCTGGGTTTGAATCCCAGCTCTGCCTCTTCCCAGTTGTGTGACCTTGTGTAAGCTACCTAACCTCTCTGGATCTTAGTTTCTCCATCTATAAAATGGAGTTATGATGGTACCTGCCTCCTGGAGATTTTCCAAGGATTAAATGAGTTAGTACAAAGGAGACTAGGATAACGTTGAGTGATATATAAGGCATTTTAAAATGTTGTCAGGGGGTTTCCCTGGTGGTGCAGTGGTTGAGAGTCCGCCTGCTGATGCAGGGGACACGGGTTCGTGCCCCGATCTGGGAAGATCCCACATGCCGCGGAGTGGCTGGGCCCGTGAGCCATGGCCACTGAGCCTGCACGTCCAGAGCCTGTGCTCCACAGCGGGAGAGGCCACAACGGTGAGTGGCCCACGTACTGCAAAAAAAAAAAAAAAAAAATGTTGCCAAACGCAAGTTCCTGTGCCCAATGCACAGTGAGGACAAACAAACCAGAAGTTGGAGTTTGGAGCAGAGAAAGGTTTATTGCAGGGCCATGCAAGGAGACCAGTGTCTCATGCCCCATAAACCCCGACTCCCCAGAGGGTTTCAGCAAAGCACTTTTAAAGGCAAGTGAGAGAGGGACGTGGTTAGTTGCTGCAAACTTCTTGGTTTTGGAATCCTTTGTTCTTGCAGCTGTGCAGGTCAGGTCAGGTCAGGATGTTCCTGTAAACCTCCAACAAAACAAATGTTATTCCCTATTCTGAAACATTTTACCTCTATGTGAAGGGACTCTTAAACGTCAGAGCCTTGAGAATAGGCTCACCTGCATATTTCAGGCTATAGGCAACATTCTTGTACAAAAGGTACAAAGCCACCATGACTAAGCACAGGCAACAGGGCAGAAAGGTTAAAGTAAAAGGAACAGGTCTAAAAAGGAGTCAGGGGCTTCCTCGGTGGTGCAGTGGTTGAGAGGCCACCTGCCGATGCAGGGGACACGGGTTCGTGCCCCGGTCTGGGAAGATCCCACATGCCGCGGAGCGGCTGGGCCCGTGAGCCATGGCCACTGAGCCTGCGCGTCCGGAGCCTGTACTCCACAGCGGGAGAGGCCACAACAGTGAGAGGCCCACGTACCCAAAAAAAAAAAAAAAAAAGAGTCAGATTTGTTCTTCCCTATTACAAAATCAGACACGTAAGTTTGAGGGCCTTTATATTCCTTGTCTTAACAACATCCCAGGAGGGCAGGGGATATCAATATCCTCATTTTACAGATGAGGAAACTGAAGCCCATGGTGAGCGGCAGAGCTGGGGAACGGTGATGCGTTACAGACACCTGAGCCACCTAAGAGCAGAAGTCAGGATTCATGGGAACAGTTTCATCGTAGTCAGGGAGGAAGGTGGGGGTGGAGAGTAAGGAGGGGAAGAAGTTTCCCAGGCTCATTGTGAGGCATGATGCTAGGACTAGTTCTCCCAACACTCTAGGTCATGGAGCACCTGCTATCTGCTGGGTCCTGTGCTGGGTGCCAGGGACATAGCTGTGGCCCAAACACTGTCACTACCTCCACTCTCATGGAGCTCCAAGTCCAGGGGAGAAGGTGGATGAGTAACCAGGCGTGATCGGATCTATGATGGAGTTGCACAGGCAGGTGTGGGAGCCCGGAAGAGGGCTGAGGAGGAGAAATCCGGGAGACTTCCTGGAGGAGGTGATGCTAAAGCTGAGACCTGAAGGATGGGCAGGGCACGTGCCAGGCAGGCCACTCTACTGGGGACAACAAAGGCAGGTGCAAAGACCCCAGATGGGAGGGAGCAGCAAAGAGTGCAGCTCAGTCAAAGCAAAGTGTGACACCCCACAGGGCAGAGGGGGCCACAGGGCCAGCTCACACAGGCCCAGGACACAGGCTGAGAGCTTCAAGGAGGCCCAGGCTCCACTCACACCAAATTCCACCGAGACCTCACCCTGCCTGCCACTGTCCCGAATAAACACACGTGGACCAGGAATCAGGAAAATGTAAGAAGTATCCCAGCTTATACATGCTTGGAACGTTTTCCAGTCCTGTCCAACAGAACTTTCTGTGATGATGGACATGCTCTGTGTCTACACTGTCCAAAACAGTAGCCACAAGTCCCATGTCCCATCAAGCACTTGAAGTGTGGCTAGTGTGACCAAGTGTTATGGGCTGAATTGTGTCTCCAAAATTCATGTCTTGAAATCCTAACCCCCAGGACCTCAGAATAGGACCTTATTAGGAAATAGGATGGTTATAGGTGTAATTAGTTAAGCTGAGTCACACTGGAAGAGGGTGGCCCTAATCCAATAGGACTGGTGTCCTTATAAAAAGGGAAAATTTGCACACAGATGTGCACACAGGGAGAACCCATGTGAAAATGGAGTCTACAAACCAAGGGATGCCAAAGGTTGCCAGCAAACCCCCAGAATCTAGGAGAGAGGGCTCAGAACGAACCAAACCTGTTGGCACCTTGATCTCAGACTTCCAGCCTCCAGAACCATGAGAGGATACATTTCTTTTCTCTTTTCTTTTTTTTGACCGCACCGCTCAGCATGCAGCATCTTAGTTCCCCGACCAGGGATCCAACTTGTACCCCCTGCAGTGGAAGCGGGGAGTCTTAACCACTGGACCACCAGGGAAGTCATGAAAGAATGCATTCCTGTTGTTTAAGCCCCTCGGTCTGTGATACTTTGATACGGCAGCTCCAAGAAATGCACCAAGAAACTGAATTTTAAAAATTCATTTTAATTAATTTTACGTACCCACGTGTGGCTAATGGCTGCTTTATTGAAACAGCGCAGTAAACAGTTTCCCATCGCCGCATCCCCCATCCTGCAGGGGAGAAATGGAGGCTCAGAACGGAGCTATCCCATCCAGAGTGGCAGACGGGATGCTGACCCAAGAACTTGGCAAGACGGAGGCAGAAAGACCTGCGGACACTTTCTTGGCTAGGAAGATGGAAAGAGAGCACTTTCTACCAGCCAAAGGTGGCTACATCCGGAGGATGGACCCCTGCGGCGCTGTCCCATACCATTGCCGCAAGTCCTATGAACTGTCTAAATGCAAAGGAATTCCAAGTTCAGTCTTCAGTCGCACAGGCCACTTATCGAGGGCTCAGTAGCCACGTGAGGGTCCCACACTGGCAGCACAGATGTAGAACATTTCCACCGTCGCTGAATGTTTTGTCAACACACTGATGCCACGCGCCATGGCAAAAACACTGAGCCAGTACCGACCGCCTCCCGCGGTGGGTTCCGTCTGCTATAGGCCCATTTCACAGATGGGGAAGGAAGAGGCAGGTAGTGCCAAAGGGAGAAGTGGGTGAGATTTCCCCGAGGTCAGGAGGGCCAGTCGGCTCCCCCTCTGCTGGTCTCCAGACTGAGTTCCAAGAGATGCAGAGGCCAGAGGTGGGGGAAGGAGGCCACCCAGGACCCAAGATGAGAGATAGGGCAGGGAAAGGGGAAGTGAACAGGAAGGGGCGGGTGTCGTGGCCCTCCCTGGGCTGCAGGCACAGCTCCAGCAGACCCACAGCCCTCATCCCATCACCCTGATGCCACATGTGAATAAGGGGCTGCAGCATCTCATCCCATCATTGAACTCTCGCGTTGCCGGGGCATAGACACCCCCCTACCCAGCCTAGCCCTGGCAGCCTGGGAGCCCCACTGAGGCCCACTGTGGGGCTGGGATTTCCTCAGAATCTCACAGGACAGGGACTGCGTACACAGCAAACCCATTCATCCCTATTCCAGCGCGCTCTCTGTTCCTCCTGTTGCCTCCTGCCCCACGGAGACCGTGGGAAATCCACTCGGCGTCAGCAGCCTCAGGAGGCTTCGGGGAGGACTGCAGGGCCCTGGGACGCATGCCCCCGGCTGCCCTCTTCCTTCCTCTGCATCCAGCCTGCCTGCTGCTGCATCCCTGCGCGCCCGGGCGTGCACCCGGCAGCTCGACCACTGCCCCAACCGTGGGCTCAGATGCTCCGTACGCTGGAGATACTGGACAGGGGCTCCCGCATCCGGAAGCTGTGCGAGCGGGAGCCCCGAAAGCTGTCCCTCGGCCTCAGCGAGCTGTCGGTGGTGGAGGCGACGGATTGGGCCTCGGCAGCCCGGGCCAGGCAGTCCCCAGGCCCTCGCAGTCCCAACCGGAGACACGCACAGCAGAGGAAGCCCAGCACGGCCCGGCACACCTCCCGGCTGCGGAAGGAGTAGATGACCGGGTTGACCGCGGAGTTGAGCACGGCCAGCGCCAGGATCCAGTCCATGCCCCGCAGGTACTCCTGAGCCCAGACGTTGGAGCCAAAGATGTCGGCCAGCAGCAGGCCGAAGAGCGGGCCCCAGCACACCACGAAAGCCACCAGGATCATAAGCACCGTCTTGAGCAGCCGCTGAGCCTTGCGGCGGGCCGGGGTGCACGGGGCCTTCTGCCCGTTGGAGCGCACCACTCGGAAGATGGCCCCGTAGAGCACCATGATGGTGGCCAGGATGCAGGCGAAGACCACCACGCAGAAGAGGATGTAGCCCTTGGAGTAGAGCGGGAGCAGGCTGGAGCAGCGCTGGAAGGCGCAGACGCAGTTCCATCCCAGCAGAGGCAGCAGGCCCAGCAGGGCTGCCAGCAGCCAGCAGAGTCCGATGAAGCTGCACACGCGGCCCCTCTTGGTGGCCCCGTTCTCAGCCACCGGCCGCACCATGGTGGCGAAGCGCTCGCCCGCCGTGAAGAGCAAGCTGAAGGTGGAGGCGGCCAGCGCCATGAAGAGCAGGCCCTCGCGCAGGAACCACTGGGCCGGTGCCAGGCGGAAGGTGTGCGCCCCGGACAGCAGCACGTTGGCCAGGTACGCGGCGCCCGTGAGCAGGTCGCTGAGCGTGATATTCACCAGGCAGTAATAGACCCAGCGGCGGGAGCGCATGCGGCTGGCGATGGCCACCAGCACCAGCAGGTTCTCCAGCACCACCAGGCAGCTCACGGCCACGAAGAGCCCGCGCAGCACCCCCAGGCCGCCCTCCTCGGGCCCGCCCCGCCCCGCCAGCCGGCCAGAGTGGTTGTAATGCAAGACGATGAGCCGGCTGTGCCCGATGGCCGCCAGCAGCTGGCAGGACTCGGGGGCCTCGGTCGGGGCCCCCGTGGCGTTCATCGCGGTCCCCGGGGGCAGACTGAGGCCCGGGGTGGTTCGCCCCAGGCAGGGTGGAGCCGCTCGCCTTGCCCGGTCTTGGTTTCCTGTTATTTGAAATTTCCTGTTATGTTCAAGGTACCCCCAGGGTGAGGGTGAGGGTGAGGCCGGGACGGGGAGGGGCATCCCAACGGTCGCTTCCCACCCGGACTCCCGGAGGGCGCTGCGGCTGCTGCCTGCTGCGAGCCCGCGGTCCCTCATTGCGGGTGGGGTCCCAGAGCGGGGGAAACCTGTTCCCCTGTGACACCCAGGCTGGATGACTTCCCCGCCCCCATGAGCTACTCCCTGCAGGACCCGCTGTTCCGTCACCGGCTCCCCAACTGCTCCAAACCCGCCTGGCACACAGTAGGTGCTTAATAAGTGTGCGTCCAGCGGCCGCACACACAGGAGCACCACCAGCTTCCTCAGCGATACCGCAGATGCACCCCGTTTTAGCCTCACGACAGGGCCAGGACCACGCAGTCCACAGAAGGGGAAACCGAGGCCTGGAGAGGCTGTGTCCGCCCCGGGTCCCGCAGAAGAGCACACAGCCAGGAGGTGAATCCCACGCACCCACACGTTTACCCGGGGCTTCCGTGGCGGGACCCTCTCTCCCCAGGTTTTCTGTTGCCTCTCCTGCCCCTGAGCTGGCTTTGCTGGGAGTAGGGCTGCTGGGGACCGCCACCCGGGGCAGCATCTCACATCTGGAGGGGGAGGGGCTCACAGAAGTGGGGAACTCACCCCACCGCCACCGCACAGCCATCCTGACCCGGCTCACACTGACTCAACCAGAGAAGGGTGAGGACGGAGGTGTGTGGGCACCAAGGCGGGGAGACGAAGTCGGGGATGATGTGTGGAGTGATGTGTGGGGGGCCTGAGGCGGGGGGACACTGCCCTGGCCAGTGTCTGTGGGGGGAAACACAGGTGTCTGAGGGGCTCTGGTGTCCCCCGTGAGTGGCAGGTGGGCAGGACACAGGGGTTGAGGACAGCCCAGGGACTGTGGCCCCCTGAACCCTGAGTTCATCGCTCAGCTCTGGAGCGGGACAGTTACAGGGAAGCTCAAAGGGAGGGGCGCCCTGGGGAGTAGCAACATCTGGTCACTGGAGGTGACCAAGCAGAAACGGATCTGAAGGGGGGGTTGTGAGAGGAGGGGCTGTGCAGGCAGCTGGGGGAGGGGGGAGGGGATGAGCACCCGAGCCCCAGTCCCGGCCTCACGTGGGACCACCTGACCCAGGCACGTTCACAGGGAGACTCATGGCATGCTCTGAGCCTGGGCCCTGGACTGAGCCCTGATCCCAGGCTGAACCCTGACCTTGGCCGAACCTGTGACCATAGGCTGACGCCAACTCTGATCCCTGACCCAGGCTGACCCCCAATCCCAGCTGAGCCCTGATCCCAGGCTGAGTCCTGACCTTGGACTGAGCCCTGATCCCAGGCTGAATCCTGACCTTGGCGGAACCCATGACCACAGCCTGACTCCAACCCTGACCCCTGACCCTGGTTGAGATTTGACCCTGAACTGAACCCTGACCTCAAGCTGAACCCCAATCCCAAGCTGAGTCCCAACTCTAGTGGAGCCCCAACCCCAACTAAACCCCAACCCCAGCTGAGCCCCTCACCCCAGGCTGAGAGAGCAAATTGAGAACTAGACTAAAATGCTATGAGAGAGCAGAGTTTGGCTAATTTGAGGCCAAGCTGTCCAACAGTGGTGACCTTCTGCCATGAATTACCTGCTGACTGGGTGAAAGGCCATACGTGCATTATACCTTATTTAATCTTACGATTATCCCCATGCTACAGAAGAGCAGTCCCTCTTCTAGAAATCTGTCCTGAAAACACAGCTTTAACAATACACAAGTGAGTACACAAAAGGTTACTCACTGTCATTTGTAAGCGTAAAATATTGGAAGCAACCCAGATGTCTGTACACAGGAGAGAGGCTGATGCATTACACTGCACTCCACCGTGGAGTACTATGCAGCCATGAAAAAGAAATGAGGGTGATCTCTGTGAGCGGAACGGGGTGATTTCCACGATGAATTGTTAAGTTGAGGGGGAAGTACAAGAGTATATGTAGTATGTTACCTTTTGTATAATAAAGAAGGGGGGAGTAAAATACCCACATATCAGCTTGTTTTTGCAAAGGAAAGATAAACCAAGAACCAATCAAATTGGTTACCTACAGGAGTGGATGGGATTGAAATTGAAGAGAGGAGGGGATGACACCCTTTGAGTTTTCCTCTTTGTATAGTTTTTAAACTGTTAATGCTTTCTATATTCAACAAAAATTTAAATCAACAACGATGGAGGACGGAAGCTTTAAGATGGACCATAAATAGAAAACAAATGAACTGAACGGTATGTCAAATGAAAAACGCAACCTCACAGAAATAGAAAAGAACCAGCTTATGCAACTTCTGGACACACTACTCACTCTAAAGGCAAAGGGAACTGCAAAAAAAAATTTAAACTTGGTTCAGTACGTTCATTTTTGGGAGTGGCATAGATGTAGTGATTCTGAAACTATCCTGTACTGTGGGACTGAGTGAAGTAGCAAATGTGGCGAAGTAGCAAGTGTGTTGATATTATTAGGAATCAGGTGTTCACTGGGGGAGAGAGGTGCAAAGATGAAATAGAAGAGCCCCGCAGGGATGAAATGGGATTAAAGTATCCATGTGGACTTGATATTTAAACACAAATCAATTTCCTAACTCCATCCATTGAGATAACCCAATAGGAATGAGCACACCTAGCACCCAGATCTTGGCTTCTAAATATCATGCCCTAAAAAAAAAAAAAGAAGGGATCCAGGACTCTAGGGAGAAATGATTGATTCCAGGGATGGGGCAGGAAGCATACAAGGTGAGCCTGGAATGTCTTGATGCACCAGAGAGTAAGGAAGGGCTCCGAGAAGGATGGGGACCCGTGGGAGAAACACAAGCTGGCCAAACCTGAGACAATTTGAGCATCAACGATGAAAAATCTTAAAATCACACAGACTTGGGGCTTCCCTGGTGGCGCAGTGGTTAAGAATCAGCTTGCCAGTGCAGGGGACACGGGTTCAAGCCCTGGTCCAGGAAGATCCCACATGCTGCAGAGCAACTAAGCCCGTGGGCCACAACTACTGAAGCCTGCATTCTAGAGCCTGTGCTCTGCAACAAAGAGAAGCCACTGCCATGAGAAGCCCGAGCACTGCAACAAAGAGTAGCCCCCACTCACGGCAACTAAAGAAAGCCCGCGCACAGCAACGAGGACCCAACACAGCCAAAAATAAAATAAATATATTTTTTAAAAATCACACAGACAGAAAGTAGGATGGTGGGTGCCAGGGGCAGGGAAGGGGGGGATTCAGAGTTAGTGTTCAATGAGGACAGAGTTTCAGTTTTACAAGGTGAAAAGAGTTCTGCAGATGGATGGTGGTGACAGTTGCAAAATGACGAATGTATTCATTCAGCCATACCTCTGAAATGTACAACACGGTTCATTTTATGTTATGTGTATTTTAAAAAACAATTAGGAAAAAAAAAAAAAAAAAGAATGACCATTCCGTATGATCCAGCAATCCCACTCCCAGGTGCTGACTCAATAACAGAGTTTAAAAAATCACCATTTGGGGGCTTCCCTGGTGGCGCAGTGGTTGAGAGTCCGCCTGCCGATGAAGGGGACGCGGGGTCGTGCCCTGGTCCGGGAAGATCCCACATGCCGCGGAGCGGCTGGGCCCGTGAGCCATGGCCGCTGAGCCTGCGCGTCTGGAGCCTGTGCTCCGCAACGGGAGAGGCCACAACAGTGAGAGGCCCGCGTACGGCAAAAAAAAAAAGAAGAAAAAAAATCACCATTTGGTAACCATCCCAGCAATAATTGATCCAAGCAGGATTCGTCAGTGGATGCTAAAGTAATTAGGTGGAAGTTTGTTGGGGAGCAGGATATTTACGTAATCTCAAAGTATTTTCCTACAGATGATTTATCAGTTACAAAGGGGAAAATGCCTTACTTAGAAACCGGTGAAGAGCAGCTTAACCAAGACACCAAGTAAACGCACAGGGAATGGGGGAAAAAAATGGGCTTCGTGGGCCTCCTGGGCCTCCTGATACAAGGCACTGAGAAGGACACATCACTTCTAGGCTATTCGGGCCAAACGTGGATCACCTGCCTCTGATTGTGGGAACCATCAGACAGACCCACACTGAGGGACATCCCACAGAATAATTGGCCTGGCCTCTTGGAAAGACTCGAGGTCGTAAAAGGTCATAAGAGACAACAACAACAACAAAAGCCTAAAGCTGTCTCAGAAGAAAGGAGATCAGAGATATATGAAACTACATGCAATGAGTGACCCCCAACTGAATACAACAACAGGGGAGGGGGGAGGCGGGAGTTGCTATAAAAGACAATATTGGCACAACTGGTGAAATTTTCGTATGGGCTGTATATTAAATACTATTGTTGCATCAGTGCTAGATTTCCTGAATTTGACCAACACCTTCTGGTTACATAACAGGAGGTGTTTGTTTGCAGGAAATACATTTGGTTTTTTTGTTTGTTTGTTTGTTTTGTTTGGTTTTTTTTTGGTTTTTTGGAGTCATGTTGCCCACTTCCAAATTACTTAGAAAAAAATTAAGAAAAAGAATAAAAAATGTGTATATTCTTTATGGAATAGATTGTATAGTTTTAGATTATGTTTATAGAGAAATATAAAGCAAAAGGTTAACTGTGGGAGCATCTAGCTCAGGGGTCTGCAGACTTTTTCTGCAAAGAGCCAAATAGTAAATATTTTTGGCATTGAGGGGCAGACAGTCTCTGTCACAATGACTCTGTTGTCATCCGGAAAGCTGCCCCGGAACATGTGTAAATGAATGGGCCTTGGCCATGTGCCAATAAAACTTTATTTACAAAAACAGGCTTAGAGCAGGTAGTGACCCCTGACCTAGAGGAAGAGTCTATGGGAGTTCATTGTCATCGTCTTGCAACTTCTGTAGGTCAAATATTTTCAAAGTCAAAAGATGAGTGAAGAAAATGTGGATTTCCTAACTTTGTGGTCAGATTATGGTCTCCAAATATCATCTCTCATTAAAAGGAAGCAGGGCTCCTTGGAGAAATGGCCGGGTCCAGGGCTGGGGCTGTGAAGTATGGGATGAGCAGAAAGCATTGTGCTGTGCCAGAACGATGAGCTCTTTTTTTTTTTTTCTTTTTCGCTGCACCACGCAGCATGTGGAATCTTAGTTCCCCAACCAGGGATGGAACTCATGCCCCCTGCATTGGAAATGCAGAGTCTTAACCACTGGACCACCAGGGGAGTCCCCAGAACTATGAGCCCTTAAGGCCACTGGGTCACATCAAAAGGACTTAGGGGGCTTCCCTGGTGGCGCAGTGGTTGAGAGTCCGCCTGCCGATGCAGGGGACACAGGTTCGTGCCCCAGTCCGGGAAGATCCCACATGAGCCATGGCCTCTGAGCCTGCGCGTTCGGAGCCTGTGCTCCGCAATGGGAGAGGCCACAACAGTGAGAGGCCCGCATACCGCAAAAAAACCACAAACAAACAAACAAACAAAAGGACTTAGGGACCAACTCAAAGAGGTTTCCACTGGCCAAAGATGAAACAATGTGGGCATAAGAAGAATAAGATATGCAGTGGATAGAAACACATCAGATGTTACATCCATGAGTTCATAGTGACACAAAAGGAAAAAAAAAAACTCTCTGGTGATCTTTTGTGGATATTGAGGAAGTAACAAATTATTGTGAAAACTGCTAAAGAAAAGTCAAGAATCAGGCATTTACCCTGTCTTTCCTGCACAGCCTTTACTTCTGGGTAACCAATTACTTGATAGGGGAAAGATGTTTTTTTAATCATACTCCATTTTGTAAATTGCTTTAAATTGTGGTAAATTACATGTGACATTAAATTACCATTTTAACAATTTTTAAGTGCACAATTAAGTGGCATTAAATACATTCACATTGGGGCTTCCCTGGTGGCACAGTGGTTAAGAATCCGCCTGCCAATGCGGAGGACACGGGTTCGATCCCTGGTCCAGGCAGATCCCACGTGTGCCACCATTACTGAGCCTGTGCTCTAGAGCCTGCGAGCCACAACTACTGAGCCCGCGTGCGTAGAGCCCATGCTCTGCAACAAAAGCCACCGCAATGAGAAGCCCGCGCACCGCAACAAAGAGTAGCCCCCGCTCGCTGCAACTAAAGAAAGCCCAGGCACAGCAGCGAAGACCCAACACAGCCAAAAATAACTTAATTTAAAAAAAATACATTCACACTGCTGTGCAACCATCCCCACCATCATCTCCAGAACTTTCTCATCTTCCCAAACTGAAACTCTGTCCCCATGAAACACTGACTTTCCATCCCCCTCCCCCAGCCCCTGGCCCCCACCATCGACTTCCTGTCTCTGTGGATTTGACTCCTCTAAGACCTCATGTGAGTGGAATCAGACAGTACTTCTCCTTCTGTGTCTGGCTTATTTCACTGAGCATAAGGTCCCAAAGTTCATGCATGTTGTAGTGTGTGTCAGAATTTCCTTCCACTTTAAGGCTGAATCATATTCCGCTGTATGGGTGAACCATATTTGTTTATCCATCCATCTCTCAATGGACACGGGTTGCTTCCACCTCTTGGCCATTGCGAATAATGCTGCTGTGAACACGGGTGTACAAATATCTCTTTGAGACCCTGCTTTCAGTTCTTGTGCTTGAGCTGGGTTTTTTAACAGAAAAATTCCAGGCAATAAATGCAGAAGAAATGAAAGTGATCAAAGTCACCATTTTTGCAACCCCTAATGATGTATGTAAGCAATGATCACCAGTGGCCATTAACACCATTATGAGAGACGTTCACGTGGAAATTTCACAGTAAATGAATCAGACTTGTGCCACCTGAACCCACTGGTCATTTTTAACGAGGTAGGGGAGGGAACCAACTGGGTGTTAATGTTGTTACACGTCTCACGGAGAGAGAGACAAAGACACGGAGACACAGAGATACAGAGAGAAAACAAACTAGATGTGTTGTCTGGTGGAGCTCACACCACCTAGGAAGTCCGCTCATGTTTCTAGGTAGATTGATTCACAGGGATTACAGGGGACAGAGGAAACCATTAATCCACATCAGGGAAACAACCCACCCAATCAGGAGGCTGGTAAACTCTACCAGATAAACGACCTGGTTTCTTCAACAAATAAATGACAAAGAAAAAAGGTTGGGTGATGGTTATAGGTGAAAAGACACCAAGAGATACAGCAACCAAATGCCACGTGTGGGCTTTGTTTGGGTCCTGACTCAAAGGAACTACCTGCGGAAAAAACACGTATGACGTTTCATCATCAGCAATGAGACATTTTGCCATCATGGGCCCACCAGGGGGATGTACTAAGAGGGACCCTGCGGCATTCTCGCCCAAAATGCATGCTGGTAATTACATCATGAGCAAACATCAGACAAGCCCAAATTGCGGGACGTTCTATAAAATAACCGGCCAGAACTCTTTTTTTTTTAATTTTATAGATTTCTTTCTTTTCTTTCTTTCTTTCTTTCTTTCTTTCTTTCTTTCTTTCTTTCTTTCTTCTTTCTGCGTTGGGTCTTTGTTGCTGCGTGCAGGCTTTCTCTAGTTGTGGCAAGCAGGGGCTACTCTTCGTTGCGGTGCGCGGGCTTCTCATTGCGGTGGCTTCTCTCGTTGCGGAGCACAGGCTCTAGACGCACAGGCTTCAGTAGCTGTGGCTCATGGGCTCAGTAGTTGTGGCTCGCGGGCTCTAGAGCGCAGGCTCAGTAGTTGTGGTGCACGGGCTTAGTTGCTCCGCAGCATGGGGATCTTCCCAGACCAGGGCTCGAACCTGTGTCCCCTGTATTGGCAGGCGGATTCTTAACCACTGTGCCACCAGGGAAGTCCCCTGGGCAGAACTCCTTAAACAGGTCATGACAGACAAAGGCTGAGGAGCCGTCACCAAGGAGACAAAGACAGGAGGTGCAATGTGGAATCCTGGCCCAGAAAAATGGCAGGAGAGGGAAAACTGGTCAAATTCTAACGAGTCTAGAGGTTAGGTAATAGGATGATGGTTGATGTTAATTCCCCGGCTTTGATAACCTGGCTTGTAGCATGGTTATCTAAGAGGTTCACATCAGAGGAAAGTGGGTGGACGATGTTCAGGAACTCTGCACTATTGCTGCAACTTTTCTGTAAATCTAATATTATTATAAAATGAAAAGCTTTAGGGAATTCCCTGGCGGTCCAGCGGTTAGGACTCCACTCTCTCACTGCCGAGGGTCCGGGTTCAACCTCTGGTGGAGGAACTAAGATCCCCAAAGCTGCAAGCCGTGCAGCACAGCAGGGTGGCGGCGGGGAGTTTTAGAAAAGACATTTACAAGACACATGGGGAAATCTGGATACTGACTGGATATCAAATACCCAAGGGTCATTGCTAACTTTTTTAGACGTGATAATGTTGCATTATGTTTATCCTTTTTAGAAGGGAGTCTTTGTATATTACAAGGATGTGGATGAAATGGTATGATATCAGGGATAATGAAAGTAACCAGGGACTTCCCTGGTTGCACAGTGGTTACGAATCCACCTGCCAATGCAGGGAGCATGGGTTTGAGCCCTGGTCCGGGAAGATCCCGCGTGCCGCGGAGCAAGTAAGCCCGTGTGCCACAGCTACTGAGCCTGTGCCCTAGAGCCCGCGAACCACAACTGCTGAGCCCACGTGCCACAACTACTGAGCCCGCGCACCTAGAGCTCGTGCTCCACAACAAGAGAAGCCACCGCGATAAGAAGCCCATGTGCCGCAATTAGAGAAAGCCCACGTGCAGCAACGAAGAACCAATGCAGCCGTAAATAAAGAAATAAATAAACAAATAAATAAATAAGAATTGGATGCCTAACTCAGGGGACCAAGGTCATGTTGACGGCATGTACTCTTGATATAATGGGACAAGACCTTCTTCACTTCTGTGCTCCTCTGACCTAAAATCTAAACCTCAGTCTAATCATGAGAAAAACATCAAACGAAACTCAACCAAAGGACGTTTGACAAAATACGTTTTATGAGAGGTATCTGGGAACGTGACCTTCTTTGGAAATAGGATCACTGCAGATAGAATCCAGTTAGGATGAGGTCATTTGGGCGGGCCTAATTCAGCGTAACTGGTGTCTCTGTAAAAAGAAAATTTGGACACAGGCACACACAAGAGGAGATGGCCACGTGAAGACACAAGCAGAGACGGGAGGGACGCAGCCACAAGCCAGGGATACACAGAGCCACCAGAAGCTAGAAAAGGCAGGAAGGACTTTCCCCTAGAGCCTCTGGAGGGAGCACGGCCCTGCTGACACTTTAGTCTCAGACTTTGCCTCCAGAACTGTGAGAGAATACATTTGCGTGGTTTTAAGCCCCTCTGTCTGTGGTACTTCGTTACAGCAGCCCTGGGAAAGTAAAAGCTGGCCAGCACTCCTCAAAACTGTTAAGGTCATCAAAAACGAAGAAAGTCTGAGAAGCCATCACAGCTCAGAAGAGCCTAAGGAGACGTGGTGATGAAATGTCGTGTGGGAACCTGGGTGGGGTCCCAGGACAGAAAAAGGACATTAGGGGGAAAAAGGAAATTTGTTGGACTTCAGTTAATAATGGGTCAATATTGGTTCATTAATGGAAAAAAAAAAGTACCATATTAATATATTAATAATACGGGAAATCAGGTGTGGTTTCATAAGGCAATCCTCTGTATTTGCAATTTTTCTATAAACCCAAGACTATTCTAAAAATTAAAGTTTATTTCTTAAAAAGTAAAACAAAACAAAAAACCTCTTGAATGAATACTAGAATCTTGGCTTGGCCACCACCCAGGTGTTTAGCCTTAGTCAAATTATTCAGTTTCTCTGTGCCTCGGTTTCCCCATCTGTAAAATGGGGGTGATGGGGTTGGTGCTTCATGGGCCTGCCCTGAGGATGGTGGGAGACCAGGATCTGGAGTAAGTGGAATCATCATCATCTCCATCAGGGATAGGCGGTGGCTGCTGCTGGAATTTTGGGTGAGTAGCAACAGAAGGTCAGCTCAAATGTCCCCGGGGCCAGGGAGAGAGGCTGAACTCCACTTCCGGGCTCAAAGTGCACACAGTCCCACACGGCTCTGTGTACCATGCCCTACACAAGTGACTGCACAAGTAGAACTTTTTCCTTCCTCGCTACCCTGCCCGGGACAGACGACTGAGATGGGACCGCGCGGGGCAGGGGGTTGGTTGTTAACCAGGACGCCCCTAAGAAATCAAAGGTCTCCAGAATGTCATTTCTTTAATGTCCACCCTTCAAGGGGCCCCGCAGAAGGTGAGGTAATAAATACAGAAGGTTGTAAGATGCAGCACGCCCGGCCCCCAGCCTGGTAAGGAAGGGGGGCGGGGGATGCCTGTAGACCTCGGTTTCCTTCATCTGAAAACTGGGGCAGGACACACTTCGAACCACGAGGCTCTGATACGGCAGCGTTTTCTGGGCGTCTTTCTCGTAAGAAAACGCAAGTCCCTGAGCTACGCAGACCTCAGGCTGGAATGCGGCTCCTTTCCGCTAGGGGGCGCCAGAGTCCGCGTCCCTCGGCATGAAGGACCACTCCCCTGTCCCGGGGCTGGTGCATCACCCCCAAAAGGGTCCCAGACCCCTGCCCAAGGGGGGACATACCTGGAGGTGGGGGTCCTGAGAGAACCCCATCCACCCAAGTCCTGGATCCCCTGCTCTCTTCACCTTTTCCTGCACCCCGGCCTCCCAAAAGGCCATTGTGCTCCCTCTCCAAGGAGATACAGTGAGTCGAGGAAAGGAAGACACAGAGGCTGTCCTGCTGAGGGACGGAGAAAGGAGGAGGCGCCGATCGGCCTTCCACCCCGGCTCACTCGTGGCCCTTCTGCCACCTGGGCCTGGGGCTGGAGCAACAAGGGGCACCTGGGTTCGCTGAGCGCTGGCCCACCCCGCCCCCACCGCCCGCAGGTCCCGCCTGCCACGCGCGGGTCTGAGTCCGGAGCGTTGGGCCTAGGTCACAGCAGGTTGATGTCGTCCAGGTAGCGGGCCAGGACTGAGTCCCGCACGTCCTTGAAGACCTTGCGGATGTTCTGTGTGTCCGTAGCGCACGTGTAGTGGCTGAAGAGGCGGCGGGAGCGAGAGCCCTTCCTGCTCCCGTCTGCGCCGTCCACACAGCTGGTGTACATGCCGGTGTACATGTCCAGGATGAACTTCTTGGCTGCCTCCGTGTCCTGCTTCGGGCCTGGGGACAGGGGTGGGCAGTCAGGGCACACGGCTCATGGGGCAGGTGGGAGCCTCTCCCTTCTGGGACCAAGGTGGGCTCTGGAGACCCTGTCCCCGATATGGGCAGCAACAGGGCTGCAGGGACCACCCACCAAAGTGCCTGCCTGCCACCGCCATCTTTTGCCTTTCTAGCTGGTCACTTGACTCAGGCCAAGCCAATAAGAGCATCAGGTATGTGTTCATGCAGGTCACATGATCTGGAATGGACCAATGACACTGGTCTCTGGGACTTTGGGCTGAACTGTGTTAAAAAGAGACCCTCTCTCTTGGCTGGGCTTGGAGCTGGGGGGATGGGAGCCTGGAACTGCAGAGAAAGACATCCTGCGGAGGTGCAAATGGGGAAACCGAGGCCGAGAGAGAGCGGGGGAAGGATGGCCATCCTGGTGAGGCACACATGCGATTCCCCCCACCACCATCTCACATTCATATATATATATATGAATATTAATATATATATTCATATATATATATGAATGAATGACTGGTGTCCATATAAGAAGACAAGAGACAACCAGAGACAAAGTCATGTGGTGACAGAGGCAGAGATTAGAGACATGCATCTACAAGTCAAGGAATGGCAAGGATTGCAGGGGACCACCAGAAGCTAGGAGAGAGGCCTGGAACAGATTCTCCCCTGGAGCCTCCAGAAGGAACCAACCCTGCTGACACCTTGATTTCAGACTTCTGGCCTACTGAACTGTGAGGGGAAAAATTTCTGCTGTTTTCAGCATCCAGTATGAAGGCTTGTGTTAGTTTATCCCCATTCTACAGAGGGGGAAGCTGAGACTCAGAGATCTTGGGCAGAGGACAGAGATGGGTCTGGAACTCAGGCCTGTCCCATTGCATTTGAAACCCCACTGGCTCTAGGCTGGGGTAGGACCTGGACCAGCATCTCTCTTGGGAGCTGCTTTTGGGAAGTGAAGGGATAGAAAGTTCTAGAACCACTCACCCTGGAAACTGGGGAAGTAGGTAGCCAGGTGGGAGGTGGGGATCTTCTCCTCCAGGATGTCAGTTTTGTTGAGGAAGAGGATGACGGAAGTGCTTTTGAACCAGGGCAGTTCCAGGATGGTGCCAAACAGGGCCAGGCTCTCCTTCATTCGGTTCTGGGTTGGGGGGCACAAGCAGGTCATGGATCTAGACGGCCAGCTCGGCCCAAACAGGAGACCTCTCCCCACGTAGAGATGGGGCTGTCGGCCCCCCATCCAGCAGCTTGAGGCTCCCCAATTCCCACCCAGCTGGGTCTGAGGGTGGTGTGGCCAGCTGCCTATGTACGCCCGAGATGGTTTTGTGCCTGTACTGGTTTGGGTAGTGTCCCCCACACACCAAAATTCATGTCCACCTGGAACTTCAGAATGAGACCTTATTTGGAAATAGGGTCTTTGAAGATGTAATTAGTTAAGAATCAGTCACACTGGAGTAGGATGGGCCCTAAGTCCAATGTCTGGTATCCTTATAAAAAGGAGAATTAGGACACAAGGAGATGGCCACGTGAAGATGGAGGTAAAATGGGGTGATGATTCTATAAGCCAAGGGACGCCAAAGATTGCCAGTGGCCACCAGAAGCTGGGAGAGCCTGGAACAGATTCTCCTTCACAGGGAACCAGCCCCACTGACACCCTGACCACAGATTTCTGGCCTCCAGGACTATGAGACGATACACTTCTGTTGTTTCAGCTCTCCCCCACCCCCATGCCCACCACCTCCCAGTTTGTGGTACTTCATCACAGCAGCCCTAGCAAACTAGGCCATCTCGTGTGGCTGGACTGGAGCAAGATCTGTGTCAGAATGACCTCAAATTGATTCTATCTGATTCAGTTTGAAAGTCGAAATTATAACCTTGGATCCCGAAACTGTCTATGGGAAAGTTTAACCCTGAAAAGTGCACATGTCAGAGATGATAACGTGCCTGACCTTCATGCCGGGAGTTAATCAGGAGAAGAGTTCACGCAAAGGAGAAGAATTCTGAGTAAAAGCAGGACATTGTCCCCATGACCCACATTCCCAGGACAGCTTACATTGTGCTTCAGTGGGGTGCGGGGGTGTGTGTGTGTCTTGAGGTTCGAGTGTCCGACTCTGTGTGTGTGTGTGTGTGTGTGTGTGTGTGTGTGTCAGGGTCCTGGCCTCACAAATGCTTGTAGATCTGTGTGTTGGGGTTCAATGGTCTGACCACAAAAGAGTGGACGGTGAAGCTCAAAGCCACGCCAGACACACAAAGCCCCACTCAAGAGTGCCTGCTCAGCTGTGGGTTCCCGGGCCAAGATGGGGGTAAGAAAAGCAGGGGAAATGGTGCCCCTGCATCCATCGTGGCCCCTCACCTCTTGGTTGTTTTCCTCCAGACACTGGTCGTATTCGCTCAGCGAGGCCAGGTAGATGAGGGCGATCACATTCTCGAAGCAGTGGATCCACTTCTTGCGTTCTGACTTCTGGCCCCCGACGTCCACGATCCTTACCGGGAACAACTCCCTTTCAGAGTTCAGGCCTAATCGGGACCCCCGTGACGAGGCGTCCCAGACCCCAGTCATGGCTGGGACATGCCATGAGCAATATTAATAGCAACAAGAATAGATGCCAGCCACCTTGTGTGTTACGGCGTTTCACCCCATGGAGCAAGTATCGCTATTATGCCCATTTTATGGATGAGGAAACTGAGGTATAGGGAGAGAGGGCACTTTCTAGAGCTTCTACTACACTGGGCTGCCTGATTTCTACCCCATGGTAGAAGACAGCTGGTTGCCCTCACTCTGCCCTGGTTCTGGCTGGGTGACAAGAGGGAAATTGCGGATCGTCTCCAGAACTCAGTTTCCCATCAGCTGTGTTCTAGTTGACCGTGGGAGTGTCCAGTGGCCACACAGATGGGCAAACGCCATCCCCTCTGTGTGTGGCCCAGGGAAAGGGTTCGCCTCCACCCCCACACACACCACAGCAAAAGCCTGGGCCCTCCTGCCTTTCTGTTCTCTCTTCTAAGAAACGTGGGTTACTGACAACAAGCCCTGTGTCATTTCCCCAGGGATGGGACCATTACTCAGGCAGCTGGAAGGAAATGCCAGAGCCTCAGAGCAAGAAGGGACTTGCCCTGCTGTACCGGAGGAAAATCCGGGCTGATGCCTGCGGCTCCTGATTCCTGAAACCAGCCTCTCTCGTGAGCCTCAGATTCCCTCAAACCCCGTATCCAGAGCGGGGCGTGTGATGCAGCGGTTGAGACTGGGGCTCCGATGGCTGAGATAGGTGTGGGGTATGCTGCTTGCCAGCCTCCCAGCTCGGAGTCTCAGTTTCCTCTGAGCCCTCACCTTTGGCCTAAGAACGGACTCAAGTTTCCCCATCTGATAATTCCCTCCTCAGCCCAGCCTTACTTCTGAACTTCCCCAACCACTACTTTTACTCCTAAACGTTTACCAACTCATCCATCCATCTATTCATCCATCCAACCCATCACCCACCCACCCATTTGTCCATACGTCCACCTACCCACCCATCAATCCATCCATCTGTCTATCTATCCATTTATCCATTCATACATACATACACCCACCCACCCATATACCCATCCATTGATCCGTCTATCCACCCACCTACCCATCCATGCGTCCATCCATGCATCCACCCACCCATCCATCCATCCATCTTTCCAACCATCCACTCACATTTCCAAACTTCCACTCTGACCTTCAACTGATCATCACCAGTGAAGCAAACTCAGCCCCTAACTTTGAGGGTCTCTCCGTCTAGTGGAGGAGACCCAATGCAAATAGATAAATTATGAACCTTCCTGCTAAGGACTATTGCAGAGGCCAGAACAACATGGGGCCGGGGGAGGGGGTGTTCAGGGAAACAAGGGATCAACATGGGTGGGTTGGACACTGAAGGGCCTCAAGCATCCCCCTGCACCCTCCACAGGTCCCTCCCTAAGGTCACTGAGGATTCTCTAAAGGCCACTAAGGTCACTGAGGATTCTCTAAAGGCCACTCCCAGAAGTCGCTTCTCTCACTGTATTCTTCCTGACCTCTCCTTGGCCTTTGACACTGACCATGACTCTGCATGGACCATCCTTTGCTGCACTGGCCACCCACACCTCTGGCTTCCAGCTCAGGCCTGTGTGCGCCCAGCCACCTCCCGGATGCCCCAGACCCCTCAGAACCAACCTGCCCCAAATGAGTTCATCATCTATTGTAACACCTCCTATCCCGCCACCACCACTGTGTCTCCACCATCTACTCTCTCACCTTGATGGGAAACCCATAGGGAGTCACTTTTGACTCTCTGCCCTAAATCCCATGCTCATCTAGTCCTGCCCATTCTACATCAGAAAGCATTCTCACACTGTCCCCTCATTTCCATCCCCAAGGCCACTTCCCGGGCACTTCCCAACCCTTTCTGCCTGAACCATGGCTCCTGCCTTCTCCTGGGTCTCCTGACCTCCAGCTTCACCCCTCATTTGGGGCTGGGTAAGCTCAAAGGGTGAGCTTCCCCAGCCCCAAATCAATCCCTCTGGTCTAGCCCTGACTGCACAGTCTCTGTCTCTTCCTTCCCATCACCTCCTAGCTCCAGTGAACTCCTATTCATTCTTCAATGCCCTAATAACAATGTCCCCTCCTCCAGGAAGACGTACCCTCCCAGAGCTCTGGGGGCTCAGTTTTGGCTCCCCCAGGTCCCAGTCCTGATTCCATGGAGGGGCTGGAGGTGTCTGTGTCCAGCCTTGCCTCCTTCAGCCTGGCAGCCCCTTTGGGGGCTGGGACTAGGCAACTCCTACTCATCCCTCAGTGCCCCAGTTCCTTTGCCCCTCCAACAGGAGCCTTCTCCACCCACCAGGCTATGCGCTCACCGCAGGTTGGTTTTCTGCACGGAGAAGCAGTACTCGTTGATGCCGGTGGTGGGCATGCGGCTGCGGAGCACGTCCTGCGAGGTAGGGATGTAGCCCTCCTCCATGATGCGGTCCAGATTTGACAGGTAGCTGTAGAGCCAGAAGCCCTGAGTCTTGGTCTTGAAACCTCCCTTTGCTTCTCAGGCCCACCACCCAGGGCCTGGTGAGGACCTTGCTGTGGGAAAGAGAGCCCCCAGGGCAGGGCCAGGATCTCTGGGGTCCCAGGTGGCTCAGGAGCACAGCCCAAGGCCATGGGAGCATCGGGAGAAGCAGCTTCACCCTCAGCAGCGTGACCCCAAGGACTGTCTCCCTGGCGCAGGCGTCACCCTGGGAAAACTGTCACCCCAGGTGTGTCACTGCCCCAAGAACAGTGATAGCTTGGAGCACTAGACACCCAGCGTCGTACCCAGGACAGCTTCACTGCATGATGATGAACAGCGTCACCCCAGAAATGGTGTCACCCCAGGAGAGCGTCATCCTAGAACAGTCACCCCAGAGGCGCCATCACCCCAGAAATAGTGTCACCCCAGGAATGATGTCACCCCATGAACAGTGCACCCCAGGAGCTGTGTCACCTGGGGAGCAGCGGCTCCCCGGGGACGGCCTCACCCCGGGGCAAGACCACCCACAGCATTCCCAGCAGTGGGAGCTGGCCAGCCTGAGGCCCCTCTGCCGGCTCCGATCCCTGGGACTGGGTCTCCTCTGGCTCCGCCTTGGCACCGCCTCGCACTCGGCACCCCGACCCCGCGCCCGTCCCCACGGACCCCAGACTCACTACACTGCCGAGTCGAGCAGGTGGAAATCGCGCCGGCGCTCGTAGCAGGCGCGGATGCCGGAGTCCCTCCACAGCCACTGCATGGCCACGGCATAGTGCTTCTCGAAGGTGGTCACCCTGTAGGGGTCCTGGCTCATGATCAGGTTGGCCCGGTGCTGGGGAGGGACAGACGGACAGGGGAGGGTCAGAGCAGCCGGGCGGGGCGGGTTGCCCTCCTGACGTCTCCACCCCCTTTCGTGCCGGCGTCCGTCCACCAAGGGTGGGCACAGGTAGAGCGCACAGCGGCGCGAGAGGCCAGCAGGGGCTTGTTTCCGTGCAGGGAGCGTCAGTTCTGGGTGACCCTGCCTGGGGCAGTAACCTCTTCTCTATCTGTTCTCCTTTCTTTGCACCGGAAGCAGGCACTCCTGTTGTTCATGTCTGAAGATAGGGTCTTTACAGAGGTAATGAAGTCACAATGAGGTCATGAGGGTGGCGCTAATCCAACGTGACTGGTGTCCTTGTAAGAAGAGGAGATTGGGACACAGACACACACAGAACGATGACCACGTGAGGACACAGGGAGAAGACAGCCATCTACGAGCCAAGGAGAGAGGCCTCAGAACGGACCAGTCCTGAGGTCTTGTGGGTTGGAACCCTCATGCACTGCTGGGGCGATGCAATCTGGTACAGCCATTGTGGAAAACAGTATGGAGGTTCCCACCAAAATTAAAAATAGAGCCACTGGGAATTCCCTGGCGGTCCAGTGGTTAGGACTCCACGCTTTCACTGCTGAGAGTCCGGGTTCCATCTCTGGTCGGGGAACTAAGATCTCACAAGCCATGTGACACGGCAAATAAATAAATAATTTTTAAAAATAGAGCTACTCTATGATACAGCAATTCCACTCCTGGGTATTTATCCAGAAGAATTGAAACTGGGATCTTGAAAAGATATCTGTACACCCAGGTTCACTGCAGTGTTATTTACAGCAGCCAAGATGTGGAAAGAACCTAAATGTCCATCGATGGTTGAATGGATAAAGATAGATATATCTCGAATACTATTCAGGCTTTAAAAAGAAGGAAATTCTGCAACAGGGGACAATGTGGATGAACCTTGAAGACACCATATTAAGTGAAATAACACAGTCACAGAAGGACAGATCCTGCACGATCCCACTTACATGAGGCATCTGGAAGAGGCAAGTTCATGGACACAGAGAGTAGAATGGGCTAGGGGAAGGGAGTTGGGGTTGCCATGAATAAAGTTTCCCTTAGGCAAGCGGAATACATCCTAGAGCTCTCCCTGATGACATTGTGTCTGCAGTTACTGATACTGCATCGTGCGCTTAAAATTTGCTAAGAGAATAGATTTCATGTTGAGTGTTCTTCACACAATAAAATAAAAATTTTAAAGAGAAGGGTGATGTGACGCACAGTCTGCATAGCACCCCTCCCCCCAGCAGGGTAGGGCAGGGCTCAGGAACCAGTCCACCGTACTAATATTTCCAGAACAAAACGCCTGCTGACTCAGGACTCCTACCAGGCATCATGGGGTCCAAGGGAGAGATGGCTGAGCCCTGGGGGTCCACGGGGAACCCGCGAAGTCGGTGGGGGGACCTGCTGGTGCTGAGCTGCCTGGAATGCAGAACAGGATCCCAGGAAACCTTGGAGGAGGTGGTTCTTCACAAGGACTTAGGGGATCTGAAGGGACACGGTCCCACCCTGAAGTCCTAAGGAAACCCCTCCCAGTGTGGCGCCCACGCAGTGAGAGCCGGGATGCTCACCTTGCTCTCGGGCCAGCTGAAGGGGATCTGCAGCCGTTCCATAGCCTCAATCATGCTCTGCATGGACACGAAGATGTTCTGGTAGACCAGGCTCCGGAAGCTCTTGCGTTCCTCCTCCGAGTAGCCTGCCCCGTGGATAATGCGCATCTGCTTGATGAACGTGCTCTTCCCGCTCTCGCCAGGGCCTGGGGAGGGGACTCTGTGGTCAGCTCAGCCCTCCGGGGCTCCCACCACCCGCCACCTCCCGCCACTAGGGTTCAAATCCCCGCTCTGTGATCCTGGGCGAGCAGCTTCATGGCTCTATGTCTCGGTTTCCCCACCTGTGAAACATGGTTTGCTGGGTGGACGTGAGGGGTAAACTAGTTCATTAAAAGTTTGTCCCAGGAGGGGCAGCAAACCTCGGCCTGCCGGCCGCTGTTTTTATTTTTAATTTGGGGGTTTTGTTTTGTTTTGTGTTTTTGTTTTTTTGCCACACCACGCGGCTTGTGGGATCTAAGTTCCCCGACCTGGGATGGAACCGGGGTCCCCTGCAGTGAAAGCGCTGAGTCCTACCACTGGACCACCAAGGAATTCCTGACAGCTGCCTGTTTTTGCATGGCCAGCAAATTTTTACAGTTTGCATGGTTTTTGTATTTCTAATTCTTTTCACCCTTACAGTTTTTACATTTTTGTAGTGGTTACAGTTTTTGCATTTTTTAATGGCTGAAAGGAATCCAAAGATTCCTTTTTGGTGACACCTGAAAATGACATGAAATTCAGGTTTCAGGGTAGGTCAATAAAGTTTTATTGGCACATGGCCGTGCCTTGTTGTATACAAATTATCTAGGGTTGGTTTCTCGGGACAGCTGCAGTGTTGAGTAGTCAGAGATCCTCTGGCTTGCAAAGCTGAAAAGATTTACCATGTGGCCCTTTACAGAAAAATCTGTGGACCCCTGGCCTAGAGTGTGCTTTGACATAGTAAGAGCTACATTCCTGTCCACTATTATTAGCAATAGTAGTCTTTACCATGATTATAATTACTATTATTATTATTCGCTATAATAATTTCAGGAAGAGAAAGTTTTGTGAAGGAAATACAATAAGATAAATAGATAAAGAATGATTAAGTGACTACTACAGCTAAGTGTCACAGAAGGCTTCTCAGTGGAGGTGACATTGGCGTTGAGATCTGAAGGCTGGGAAGGTTGCTCTCGTGCCAAGATCTGGAGGAGGGAGCACCAGGCAGTGGACACAGCACGTGCAAAGGCCCTGGGGCAGGACCAGGCCTGGTGTGTTGGAGGAATAGCGAGGAGGCCTGTGTGCTTGGAGGTGAGTGAGCGAGGGGGAGAGAGGGAGGAGGTGAAATTATGATTGTGGAAGGGGTTCTAAGGAGAAGGGGGCTTTGAGTTAGGCTGGGTAATCTAGGAGGGCTTCACTGAGGAGGTGACATCTCATCTGAGACCTGGCAGATGACAGAATTCATTAGAAGAGAAGGGGGAATAGCATTCCCAACAGCAGGCACAGCACATGCAAAGGTCCAGGGGCAGGACCATGCCTGGCATGTTGGAGGAACAGCCAGGAGGCCTGTGTGTCTGGGGCAGAGTGATCAAGGGGGAGAGAGGGAGGGGGAGGGCAGGGAGGGGACAGGGCAGGTCATGCAGGGCCTTGTGGGCTGTGGGTAGAGGAGGGGTGGGGCCTGACCCAGGGGCTCACAGGTGGCCCCTGACTACTGAGGGGAGGGCAGGTTGGGGAGGGGTGAACCCAGCCAAATGGGACTGTTCTGGTCCAGGCTGGACCCAGGTGGCCGCGTGGAGCTAGAGAGAAGAGGACATATGCCCAAGATATTTGGGAGACAGAATACACACGACCTTGCTGATGGACCAGAGTGGGGAGAGGGTCCTTGCAGGCTCACCTACAGAATCTCCAGGGCCAAGCGCTGGATGAAACCACAGGGCCCTTCTGAGTGCAGGGTCGCACGTCAAAAAGCCGGTCATGGGTCTGGGATAGTAACACTAGAACCTTTGGAAGCTCAAAGAGCAAGGCCTGGCTCCCTGCTGTCTGAGCCCTGATATCTCCCTGTCTGAGCCTCTGTTTTCTCGTCTGTGAAATGGGCATGATAGCCAGGCGGGAGGTGTGGGGCCGGGAACCACCTCCAACACCTTGTCACCCTGCCGGCTCCTGGGGGACACTGGTGTGGGGTCCCTCCAGGGGTGGGGAAGCGGACTCGTGCAGGAGGAACTGGGACCAGCAGCAAAAAGGGAAGGGGTGCCCTGGCTGGAGCCAGAAAGAGGAACGAGGAGCAGAGGAAACACAGCAGGGAGGAGGCTGGGAGTGTAAGAAGCGGCAGAGGACGGGGTGGAACTCTGTTGTACCGCCCCTGGGGGGCTCTCGTCCCCTCCCACTCCCAGCAATTCTGAAGGCAGTGAGGGCAGGACCCAGCGACACCGCTGCACTCGAGATCCAAGGAAAAGAGTCAATTTGCTATGGCCCTAAAGGACATTCATGGGGAAACTGGGAATGCCAGCGGGACGTGATGGTGACGGGATTCGGGACGTGATGGTGACGGGATTGCATCACGCTCATCGCCTGCTCACCATTGCCCTGGGGGGGTCTTTGCTTTTTAGTGGGACGTAAACCCACTGAAGTATCTGGGGGGGAAAAGGTGTCAGGGCTGCAACTTTACTCACAAACGGTTCCGATAAAAATGAATACGTACGTGTTAAATATAATATATAAATGTATAACAAATAAACTATAGCTATGCATTATGTAAATTATAAGTATATACACATATACTTATATATAATGTGTGTGTATACATATATATATGTATATATATATATAGAGAGAGAGAGATAGAGGGAGAGGGCGAGCAGGGTGGGATGGGATAAAGGGCATGTGATAAAATGTTAACATTTGCAGAAGAATCCGGTGCAACTTTTTTATAACTCTGAAAGTATTTTAAAATGAAAAGTTAAGAAAGTGGGAAAAAAAACCCTCAAGGGCTTCCCTGGTGGTGCAGTGGTTAAGAATCCACCTGCCAATGTATGGGACGTGGGTTCGAGCCCGGGTCCGGGAAGATCCCACATGCCGTGGAGCAACTAAGCCCGTGCGCCACAACTACTGAGCCTGCGTGCCACAACTACTGAAGCCCATGCGCCTAGAGCCCATGCTCTGCAACAAGAGAAGCCACCGCAGTGAGAAGCCCGTGCACCTCAATGAAGAGTAGCCCCCGCTTGCCACAACTAGAGAAAGCCTGCATGCAGCAACGAAGACCCAACGCAGCCAAAAATAAAATAAATAAACTTATTAAAATAAAAAAAAACCTCAAATGCCATGTGAGATGCTGCATTGGAGGCTGGAACAGAAAAGGGGCCGTGGTGGAAAAACCAGTGAAATCTAAATCTGGAGTTTAGTTAACAGAAATGTAATGGTACGGTTCCCACATTAATATCTCAGCTGTGATGAGCACATGGCACTTATGTAAGATGTCACCACGAGAGGAAGCTGTTTAGGAGGAGACGGGAACTCTCTGGACTATCTTTGCCACATTTCTGTCCTTCAAAAATGATTCCAAAATAAAAAGTTTCCTGCAAACAAACCAACAACAAACAAAAAACGCCCCACAGTTCCACAATCTGAAATGCTTCAGTAAGGAGCCACATGTGTCTCAGATTCCTTGGATTTCAGGACGGGGATACATCAAACTCAATAAATATTCCTGCAGTAGAACCTCTGACTACCACAGTCAGTGAGATAAACCCACAGCCTCGCCTCCCACTGGGAAACCTGGGAGATGGGCTGGTGTCCGGAGCTTCTGCTATTTGGAGGTGGAAGAGGTACCGTAAGCCCCCCTGTCCTCCTAGGGTGCCGGGGGGTCCACACGCACCAGCTTGCCTGAGCCCACAAGAGGAATGGCTCTTGGCTCCACATTTCACGTGGGGCAACTGAGTCCCAGATCGGTTGGGTCGTGCAGCTGGTGGGTGGCCAAACTGGGACTCAAACCCGGCTCTGAGTCCAGAGCTCACGGGCTTTTTAATAATCATTCCGGGAAGTTCCCCAGGCACTGCCTGAATTATCGTCACTAAGATTCCCACTGTTTTCCCATTCGCAGTAGAGACGTGGGGGCTCAGAGAGGTGAAGTGACTTTCCCAGGGTCACACAGCTACTGGAAAAGCAGAGGAGTAAACACAAGCCCTTGTGGATCCTTCACCTTCATCAAAGTATCAGTTCATGTGATGTTTCTACGGACGCTCGGAAGCTCGTCGGCTCCTCTGGGTGCTGCCAAGACGGCGGTGAGACCTACGGCAGGGGGCTGCACCCTTTGACCTTCCTCTGGGTTGCCCCCAAAAGTGTGGAGAACAAAGAAAGATCTCACCAAGAAACAGTTAATTTTTATTTATTTATTTATTTTTGGGTGCGTTGGGTCTTCGTTGCTGCGTGCAGGCTTTCTCTAGTTGCAGCGAGCGGGGGCTACTCTTCATTGCGGTGCGCGGGCTTCTCACTGCGGTGGCTTCTCTTGTTGCAGAGCATAGGCTCTGGGCACGCTGGCTTCAGTAGTTGTGGCACATGAGCTCAGGAGTTGTGGCTCGCAGGCTCTAGAGCGCAGGCTCAGTAGTTGTGGCACATGGGCTCAGTAGTTGTGGTGCACGGGCTTAGTTGCTCCACGGCATGTGGGATCTTCCTGGACCAGGGCTCAAACCTGTGTCCCCTGCATTGGCAGGAGGATACTTAACCACTGCACCACCAGGGAAGTCCGCAACAGTTAATTTTGTTGAGATGCACCGATTTCCTTTTTTTTTTTTCCTCTTCTGTTTCATTAAAGAAAAAAAAATATCCTGGTTGCCACCCACAACTTGGGTTTTGTGACTCACAAGTGGCTCACAACCTGAAGTCTGAAAAACTCCACCTTTGCAGTTGTGACTGTCCTGGAGCCACTGAGGAATCAGGAGTCTCTCTGCTCCCTCTCCTGATGTGGTTCAGCAAGCCCCCCAAATGGGACTGGGAGCTGCAGGGAGAGCTGTTGCCACCTGGCACGTCCTCGCAGCCAGACGGGAAGTGATTGCTTCCTTCTGGGAATGGGTGAGGAAGTAGAAACTCGCGGAGGCCAGGAGCCGTGCCAAGCCCCAGGCATCGCGAGACGCTGTGCAGCTCCTTCCATGGTTGATGGCAGTCCCAGCCCCGCCATCCTCCCCCAGGAAACTGGGCCACTGGGACACAGGGAGCTGCCTGAGAGCAGACAGCTCATCTTCTTTGCCCAGCTCTGCCTCAAAACTGGCTGCAGACCCCAGACCCATCCTGCCGCCGCCCTGGGCCTCAGTTTCCCCATCTGTCATTGGGCTTCTGTAGAGGCACGTTCACAGGGCAGTCAAGCATGTGGACTGTGGAACCAGAATTCTAGGTTCCGATCCTGGTTGTGTGACCTTGGGCAGGTCGCTTCACCTCTCTGGGCCTCGGTTTCCCCGTCTGGAGTGGTTCCTACCTCACATAGTATGGACAGAGCTGGCTCCTTTAATTGCCTTATTCTGAGTCTTCCCCCTCCTCAACGTGGTGACCACTTCCTGTCAGGGACAGACCCCCAGCCCCTTGGCCTTCTTCCTCCAAAGGGTCAGCCACCTCCCAGAAAAAAAAAATAATAATAACTTTTGGATTCAATTCCTGTTTTTAAAGAGGGCAGGTGTGGAAGCAGCCCTCAGGGCTTGGATAGGGGTGTTGAAACCACAGTCCAGCGGGCTGTCCATAGGGCCACCATCTGTGCTTGGGCACGTGGACAACCTCCCCTCTCCCCTCTCCCACCCCTACCAGCAGAAGTGGCTTCCTGATTTGGGACTGGCTGTGCAGTGATCAGTGGGGCAAGGGACTTTCCCAGCTCCAGGAAGATATGGTACAGCTCTGGGGAAAATCATCCCTGAAACAGGATTCATTCATTCATTCATTCACTCATTTATAAATCATGCATCGGGTATCTGCTCTACGTCAGGTCACCGTACTCCTGAAATAGATGCTGGGGACACAGGAGTGAATAAGATGGACATGGTCCTCACCTCTGTGTTGCTTGCTGTGTAACTGGAGAGACAGACAATAAACAAGGAAACAAGAAAACACCTGAGAGAGCATCAGCGAGTGAGTGGTATGAAGAAAAATCAGGCGAGAAAGAAAGATGGGGCTGACTTTGAAGCCCGGGAAATCAGGGAAGACTTCTCTGAGGAAGTGACACTTGAGCTGAGACCTGTCTTGAGTGAAAGGAGTGAGAGCACCAGCCATGCAAAGGCTTGGGGGATGCTGAGAGCCCTTGGCAGGGAGAATGGCATGTGCAAAGGTCCTGAGGTGTGGTTAAAGAAAACCTGAGATGTGCAAGGAAGTATCACTAACACTGCCAAACCCCTAGCCCAACAGGTCAAGAAAAATGGAGCAAAGACAAAGAATGAAAAAGGAGACATCACTACAAATCCCACAGACATGAAAGGATGACAAGGGAATGTTATAAACAACCTTATGCCTATACATTTGACAACTTTGAAGAAATGGACAAATTCTTTGGAAGATACCAATAACCAAAGCTCACTCGAGAAGGAATAGCCCTATTTATTAAAAGATAGTAAATAAAATATATATACTAGCCTAGCTATTACAGAAAGTGAATAGAGATAGCTATGAAATTAAATTCTTAATTAAAACGTTCCAGGCTCAGACAGCTTCACTGGGGTCCCATGCCCCCACCCTCTCCTCTCTCTCCACCCCTCAGGGCTGCCCCTTGCCACTGAGCAAGAGAAGAGAGAGGACGGCCATCCAGATGACCAGGCTCTTTGCCCCAGGACAGGCAGATGGGACTTTGGAACACTTCCCCGGCCCTCGCTCAGGGCTCAGGCAGTCCCAGGAGACCCTCCAAGGCTGGCGTCCCTGGGCTTAGGCCAGCAGGGTCATACACAGGGCAAGGTGGCTGGGGAAGTGGACACACGTGGACAAGAAGACATGAGGTCTCAGAGGCTTCCAATCCACCACACCCACGTCACCCCCACTCCCTCACCCTGTTCTATTTTCCTCCTGTTCTTCGCGCTGCCGGAAATTATTTTACCTGCTTATTAGTTTGGGGGCTTAACATCTGTTTCCCCCACCGGAAGCTGAGGTCCCCAGAGGCAGGGACACGCTCCATCTCCTCTGCCGCTGTGCCCCCACGAATTACTCAGTATGTCTTGAGTGAATGAACCGACCAATCAATCAATCAATCAGAGGCACGTGGCAATGCTCTCTCTGCCCACACGACCGTGCTGATAAACCACCAGAACAGACCCAGCTCTCCAGAGGGACGGGAGGGGCTCGGAGGGCGAGGCTGGAGCTCCCCGGGCTGTGCGGCTCATTCCCTTCCTGCAACGCGGAACCGATGGGGCGGGCCGGGCCTGCTTGACAGAAGCCAGGCCGCCGGCCCAAACCGCCTCTGCTCCTGCAGATGCCCAGGAGATGGCCGGACCGCGGGACGGGCCCACAGCTCACCCCTTGGGACGAGGAACCGGGCCTCAGTCGACTCATCCTGAAAGTGGGCTCCCAGGCTGTCCCGCCCGGGGTGGCCGCGGACTCACCCAACAGCAGCAGCTTCAGCTCCCCTCGGTCCCGCTTCTTCTGCTCCAGGAGGATCTTGTTGATTTCCTGGTCGATCCGGGCCGCCGACTTCTCGTCCTCGGTCAGGCACCAGGCGCAGCAGCGCCAGGTCAGCGAGCGGGCCATGGTGGGGCCTCAGCGGGCACCAGGCGGCATCGCCCCCGCGCCCTCCTCCTCCCCCGGGAGGCACCCCGGCCGGCCGCTCCGGGGTGGGCTTCTGACAGCCGGCGGCAAGAGTCTCCCTCGTCGTGGGGGTCGCCCCCCCGGGACCCCCGGCTTCCCGGCCTTGGGCACCCGGCGGCCCAGCTCGGCGAGGCCTGCGCGGCGGGTCAGGGGTGGAGAAGGAGAGGAGATGCCGGCTTAGGGCTCCCCGCCCACCCCCAGACCTGCCCGGCCCGGCCCGACAGGTTGACGGCAGTAGAGCCAGAGGTGAGGTGGGCGCCCCAGGGGAGGGCGGGGCGGGGAGGAAAGGCCCGGCGTCTGCAATCTGGGTCTGCGCTGAGCCTCCTTCCTCATTCTGGAGAAGGGGTGGACCCTGTCCTCCTGGGCCTCTGACGCCCGGCCCCGGCCCACCCACCTCTCCCCCTCCTCTGGGCCAATTAGAAGCAGTCATCAGAATACCCCACAAGGTCTTTTTTAAAAGCACAGCCAGGGCCCGGCGTCACTTACTGTTTTAAGTGCTTTTGTGTTTGGCGGGGTGGGGGTTGGTCATGCGGACAGCACCCCAAGTTCCTTGCCATTCCCGCTGCACAGATGGGGACATAGAGGCACAGCCAGGCAGTGACAGCCCCCGAGGACCCTCTCCCACCCGTGGGGTCTCAGTCTCAACTGCAGAGCTGGCAGCTTTGGGACTTTGGAACGGGGCCATTCATTCTTCTTGCAAACATTTATGCGACGCCTACTGTGTGCCAGGCATTCTACGCACAGCAGGGACCCAAATGACAAAAAACCCAATCTCCCTGCCTTATGCTCTAGACAGACAGATAAAGAAATACCTTAAATATATGTATATCTAAGCCTATCAGATGGCCATAAATTGTGAGAGGAAAATAAAGCTGGGAAGGGGGATGGGAGATTGGGGGGGGCTCATGTGTGGCTTGAAACAGGGGGTCAAGGAAGGTCACTCTGAGAAGACAGGCATTTGGGAGGAGAAGTTGGACAGGCAGCCTGGACATAGAGGGATCTTGGGAGTCAAGCCCGCATCCCAGCGAGGCCATGAGGCCCTCGTTCCCTGACGACTCAGCCTTCAGGACCTTAGAAGCAGGAGGGGACACAGGGGTGGCTGTGTAGCTGCGTCCCCACAGAATGTCTCCAATCCAGCAGCTCTTTGCTGTGTTCGGGGATAGAATGCTCTTTGAGAGGTTCTAGAAAGCTCTAGAAAGTTCCCAAACACCCCTCCCCCCCAGAGATACACAGAATCTGGGAGACCCCGGGCCCCTCCCACAGGCACTGGTGAGGCTCAGAGAGGGTGTGTGCTGTGCCTGAGGTCACACAGCCGCAACTGTCTGCCTGTGCCACGCCCCAGCCGGCACCAATGCGGTTTCCTTCGCTGTTGATTCATAACGACCAGCAGATGGGAAGTTCGATAGGGGCCCCGTTGGGTCACTGGGTCCTGGCAGGCACTGCCCTGCTCAACCCCGTTCCCACCCCCGACCGGATGGCCGTGAGGAGGGGGTGCTCCCCGCGGCCTGAGGCCTGGGTGACTTCCCACTACCGGGGAAGGTGAAGAAAAGCAGAAATAATAATCTGGGCCACACAGAAGCAGAACGGAGGTAACCAGCTTGGCAAAACCCAGAGGCCAGGCTGAGTCACAGACTGGAGGGTGGATGGCAGGGCAAGGCCAGGAGCACCTGGGGCCACCCCGCTGTTTCCCAAAGGACACCAGGTCCCTAACCCATCACACAGGGCCAGGGCGGCATCCCGCTGACTTCAGAGAAATAAAAACAGGTGCCTTGATTCCCCCTCCTCCGGGGCCCATACTCTGTGAATTTCTCCAGCCTCACAACAAATCTTCCCACTTCCCCAAACAGGCGAGGAGCTGCTTCCTCTCCAGATGAGGTACCATCCTGGCGGGACACCTGTCACCTATTAGTTCATTCGGGAATAACAGGGTGAGCTGTGTGTGTGTTTAAAAAATACACACACACGGACCTCCCTGATGGTCCAGTGGGTAAGACTCCACGCTCCCCATGCATGGGGCCCAGGTTCCATCTGTGACTGGGGAACTAGATCCTGCATGCCGCAACTAAGAGCTGGCGCAGCCAAATAAATAAATAAGTAAATTTTTAAAACATATATTAAAAAAAAGTACACACACAGACTTCTCTTGCAGTCCAGTGGTTAAGACTCCGCCCTTCCACTGCAGAGGGCGTGGGTTCCATCCCTGGTCAGGGAACTAAAAATTAAAACAAACACACACACACACACACACAGAAAACACAGAAAACATGAACATATAACCTAATAATTTCCTGTGAAACTGATACCCACGTGATCCCCACCTAGGCCAAGATTCAGGGTATCGTCAGCCCCAAGAGGGTTCCTAGATACCCGTTCCAACAAGACCCCCTTCCTCCTGCTGGGCAGTCGGTACTGCACCAACTTCTGTGGTATTTCTGTGTTTGGGGGGTATTTTTGGTAACAAGATTTATTTTGCTTTTTGTTTTTTCAATTTACGTGGCTTGGTAGGTGCTTCCTTTGGTGTACGGTTTTGTGTTTTAACAAATGTACACAGTCATGTAAATTATGGCTAAAACAGTTGACAGAATATGGTCTGTCACCTTAAGAACCCCCTCCAGGTACCTCTTTATAGCCAGACCCTCACCTGAGCCCTCACCCCTGGAAACCATCAGTCTGCTTTTTTTTTTTTTTTTTTTGCGGTACGCGGGCCTCTCACTGTTGTGGCCTCTCCCGTTGCGGAGCACAGGCTCCGGACGTGCAGGCCCAGCAGCCATGGCTCACGGGCCCAGCCACTCCGCGGCATGTGGGATCCTCCCGGACCGGGGCACGAGCCCACGTCCCCTGCAACGGCAGACGGACTCTCAACCACTGCGCCACCAGGGAAGCCCGATCTGGTCTTTGTTGCTATGGTTTTTTGAATCTTTTTGAGACTGTCATATACATGGAATCACACACTGTGTAATTTTTGAGACTGGCTTCTTTCACTTAGCATCTGAGATCCGCCTATGCAGTGGGGCATGTCAGGAGCCCTCTCCTTTGGACTCTTGGGTAGTTTTCTGTTGTGTGGGTTCATCACCCTTTATCTGTTCACCCGTAGAAGGCCATTTGGGTTGCTCCCAGTTTGGGGGTGATAACGGATAGTGCTGCTGTAAACATGCACTATAATCATCATCAGTGCTCATTTCTCTAGGATATTTCTAGAAGCGGGATGGTTGGGTCATAAGGTAATTGTACGTATAACTTTGTAAGAAACGGCTGAATGCTTTTCTGGTGTGGCTTTCCCATTTTGCACGCCCATCAGAAATGCCTGAGGGGGGCTTCCCTGGTGGCGCACTGGTTAAGAATCTGCCTGCCAATGCAGGGGACAAGGGTTCGAGCCCTGGTCCCGGAAGATCCCACGTGTTGCAGAGCAACTAAGCCCGTGCGCCACAACTACTGAGCCTGCGCTCTAGAGCCCGTGAGCCACAACTACTGAGCCTGTGCTCTAGAGCCCGTGAGCCACAACTACTGAACCCGCGTGCCACAACTACTGAAGCCTGTGCATGTAGAGCCCATGCTCCACAACAAGAGAAGCCATCGCAATGAGAAGCCCGCGCACCGCATCCAAGAGTAGCCCCGGCTCGCCACAACTAGAGAAAGCCCGCATGCAGCAACGAAGACCCAATGCAGCCAAAAATAAATAAATTTATTAAAAAAAAAAAAACCCCAACTGTGGAATTGCTGGGTTACAAGGTATTTCCCAGATATTAACTCTCTTTTGCCAAAGTGCGTGTACCAATTTACAACCCCAGTAGCTCTGGTAAGTTTTTTTTGTTTGTTTTTTAAATTTTTGCCCGTGCCACCGGGCTTGCAGAATCTTCGCTCCTCGATCAGGGATCGAACCCGTGCCCCCTGCAGTGGAAGCCCGGATTCTTAACCACTGGACCACCAGGGAATTCTCTCTGGTGAGTTTTTTATGGACCTAAATTTATCCCATCCAAAAGTCTCTCCTTTATTCAGAAACGACGATCTCCTTGCTGTTCCTTTGGTATGAGAAATGCCCTTTCTGTTTAATGAGGAATAGGATGTCTACATGGTTTTACAGTACCTCACAGTCCTCAGCTGATGGGAGGCCACAGCTGGGTCATTCCCTGGCCACTGCCCTTGGCCATACCCAAGGTCATGCCCCCGCCCCCACCAGGGCTGGCCCAAGGCTGGGGTACAAATGTCCATCCCCTCCCTTTATTAACTGATGAATCACGGATTTGATTCCACTTCTGCGAGTATATCCATACCGAAAGCAGGGTCTCCAGAGGGTCTTTCCCACCCAAGTTCACAAAAGCATGATTCACCGCAGCCAAAAGGAGGAAACAGCCAGGATCCCCTCGCCGGCCACCTGGGCCGGCTTGGTGGGCGGGGGACTCGGGCTCGGAAGGTTTTCTGTCTTGAAAGCCTCCTGGTTTTGTAACAAGGGCCCTGCGTTTTCACTTTGCACCGGGTCGCGGCTGGTGCCCAGGCTCGGGGGCGCCGCCTACCGTCAGGGCAAGGGCCCGGCCGCTCTGTGCCTCGGTTTCCCTGTTGGAACCGGGATGCGGAGAGGACCTCCGGAGCGGATGCGCGTTCGCGCGGACGGGCGCGGAAAGCAGGCGAGCAGCACCTGCCGGCCGCGGGGCACATGACGGCCAGGCGCGCCGGCAGCATCCGCGGGCTCCCTCCCTGCACCCACCTCCCGAATCCCACTCCCTCCTCCGCCTCCACCTGGGACCACTCCATCATCTCCCACCTGGTCCAGCTGAGTCCCCTCCATCCGGGTCCCTGATTCCGCCCTCAGCCCCACAGTCTGTCCTCCCGGCAGCGGCCACCAGAGGGCGCCTATGAGCACTGAGTCAGGCCCTGTCCCGCCCCTGCCCACAGTCCTCCAGGGTCCCACCTTCCTGAGGGTAAAAGCCCAAGTCCTCCCCGCGGCCCACAAGGCTCTGCACGACCTGCCCTGTCCCCTCCCTGCCCTCCCCTCCTCCCTCTCTCTGCCTCACTCACTCTGCTCCAGACACACGGGCCTCCTTGCTGTTCCTCCAATGAACCAGGGCTGGTCCTGCCCCAGGGCCTTTGCACATGCTCTGCCCTCCGCCTGGCAATCCCCTCCCTCAGACCACAGCACGGCCCCTTCTCTTCACGTCTTCCAGCATCCTATTCATACGCCACCTTCTCCGAAAGGGCTTTCCTGAACAGCCTGCCTGAAATGGCCACTATCGCTGCCAATGACTCTTCCCTGCTGCTTTTATTCATAGATTGAGTCATGGTGATAAGTGCTGTCTCCCTGTATATGCAGTGCCTAGGACAGTGCCTGGCACACACGGGGCCTTCAGGGCATTTCCATCCCACTGATGAGTGAGTAAATAGAACTGGAGGGGGATATGGAGAAATGCGACCCTGGCATACAGCTGGTGGGAAGGAGAAATGGGGCAGCCGCCGTGGAAACAGCCTGGCGGTTCCTCAAACGGTTAAACGTGGAATCGCCATTTGACCCAGCAATTCCACTTCTGGGTTTATAGCCAGTAGAATGGAAAGCAGAGTCTCAAAGAGATACTTGCACACCTGTGTTCACAGCATCGTGATTCACGACAGTGAAAAGGGGGAAACAACCCAAGTGACCATCAACGGATGGATAAACAAAGGTGGTCCATCCACGCAGTGAAATGATTCAGCCTTAAAAAGGAAAGAGATCCTGACACCTGCTACACCATGGATGTACCTGAAGGACATGATGCTCAGTGAGAAGCCAGACACAGAAGGACAAATACTGTGTGATTCCACTCACATGGAGTCCCTGGAGGAGTGAAATCCATAGAAAATAGGATGGTGGGGCCAGGGGCTGGGGGAGGGGGTGGGGAGTTATTGATTAATGGGTATGGAGTTTCTGTTTGAGGTGATGAAAATGTTTTGGAGACAATTACTGCTGACGGTTGCACAACATTGCAAATGAAACTAATGTCACCGAACTGTATATTTAAAAATGGTGAAGCTGGTAAGTTGTAGGTGTATTTACCACAATGTAAAAAATATTTTTTTTTAAGGAAAAAAAGACTGAGAGATGGCAGGGAGATCACTGGTCCAACATCTTGGTTTGCAGAAAGAAATGGGGCCGGGGGAGGGGCCCGTCTTCCCAAGAGGATCCGCGACAGTGAGTGGCCAGTTGGGCCCAGAACCCAGGCCCCATCTCTGTCCCCTGCCCCCCACGAGGAGGAGTTCCTCTTGCAGGATGCTCCAGCCCACAGCACAGCACATTGACCTGAAGTCAGGGGCCCTGGGGCCGCAGTCCCAGCTCAGGGAAGGAGGTACACCCCGGGCGGCCGAGCTGCGGCTCCCGTGACCTCAGACCCCATCCTGAAGGTGCCAGGGCCCCGCAGGCCACACAGGAGTCAGGTGACAACCCGGGGACCTCAGGGCCCCTCTGCTGCTCCCCGCCCCCAGTCAGTAACAGGAAATAAGCCACAGGGGGCCGAGTGTTTAGGAACAAAATTTATTCCAATTTAAAACAGAATTCATTTCAGGAGAAAGGTATGAAAAGTCTATTTCCATCACATATCTCTGGATTAAGGGGTCAGGGCCCCGACACGCTGCCTGAACATGGACAGCTCCGGCCACAGGAGACTGGCACTGAGCCGACGGCGCCCGCCCCTCAGCCCGCACGGACAATACATGCATTTCAAATGACAAAAGGTTTAAAAACAGCATTTTTATATAATATTCTTTTTTAAATAGATTAAGGTTTAAATTGTCTGAAATCAGGACTGTTTAATATACAAGTGGGCGAGGTCACCCCCGCCAGCCGGCACGGCCCCTCACACCACTGGGGCGTTGGCACTCGGAGGGCAGTTCTGCTGGGTGACGTGACACAGCAGTGGGGGTAGGTTGGCACTCGGGCAAGCGCCTCGGAGGCGAGCGAGCCAGGCGGGGAGGTTGGGCACAGCAGCCGGGCTTGCCCCGGGATCTTGGCACTCCAGCCCCTCCGGAAGTTAACACTCTGGATGCGCCCCCCACCGCCTCCCCCTCGAGGGCCTGCCCCGGCTCCCTGTGCGTTGTGGGCCCCTGGGAGCCCACCGCCAGCGGCACCACCGTCCCCGGCCGCACGTCAGGGCTATGGCACAAACCCCGCAAGTGGACGCACGGCACCAGAGAGGGCCCTTCGGGTGGAGATGCCCAAGGAAAACAGGCCGAGAAGCCTGCCCCCCACACTGGGCCCTGCGTATCAGGCACAGGAGGGAGGTGGGAGGCGGACGGACGGGGACAGGGCTGGTGTGGGGCTGGTCTGACGTGTGCGCTGTTTCTCTGCACTCCCTGGTCAAGGGCCGCCCTGAGCACTCACTCGCAGGGCCCAGGTACGCAGGGCAGGTGCGGGGCGCCACCGGCGGGCCACTCCCGTCACGTTGGTGCAAGAAACCAACCACACAAAACCAACCACTGCAGTGCTCGGCCCACGCCACATGAGACGGCCACTTCCTCTCCCCAGAAACCGGCCCTCAGGCCCTCAGGGAGGGCCCCTCAGTGCGTGGCCGTGGCCAGGCTGAGGGCCCACCTCCAGCTGCCACGAGCCCCGACAGCTCGGCTCCGGGCAGAGTGCAGGGCGGTGGGCATCTCCCAGCCACCACAGCCCCGCCAGGGCGACCCTCCCTGCGTCTCTGCCTCTCGGGGACAGACCTGAGAAAATTCTGAAAGAAGTCCCTACCCCACCCTCACTGCTTCCAAACTGGGTACAAAATGGAACAAAACAAACAGTGGCTCCCAGTCCAAGCGGGCTTCCTCAGGGTTGGGGACCGAGCCCAGAGCCCAGGAGCGCTCCCAGCGGAAGACCCAGAGAACCACGCCCCGGGCCCCCGCGGCAGGCAGGGCTGTGAGACAGGGCCCCAGGGGCTGCTTTTTGTTTCCTCAAAAAAAAAGAAAAAATGGTTAGGCACTTCCCAGGGTGGGCAGCGGGGGGCGCCACCCACCCCCACGTCTTGGAGTCCGGGGCAGAAACCCGGCAACAGTGGTGAGGGCGTCAATAACTTAAACAAGGAAGAAAGAGAAGTCCCAGCCTCTGTGTCTCCACGCCTTCGGAGATCAGAAGAATGCAGGCCAACAACCGTCCCCGGAGGCAGTGTCTCGCGCCGCTGGGGGCCAGGTCTCATCTCTGCCCGTCTTCTGTGGGTTCTCTTTTTTTTTCTTTTTCCTTTTTTGTTTTTTTTTTTTTTAGAAAAAAGCAAGCCACGAGTCAAGGCCAGAAAAAGGCGGCCTCTGCCACTGACAAAGATGAGAAGGTGCACGAGGTGTGTAGGAAGAAAGATGTACATCCCCTGATAACTGTGAAATAAAAACCATTTGTTTAAAAATATGAAAAAACCCCGACTCCTGGGGCAGACTGGCGACCAGCAGGCGGCTGGCGGGAGTCCGCGTGGTCACACCAGGTTGTACTCCTTCAGGTTGAGCTGCAGGATGGTGTCCTTGACAGCGGCGAAGACGAAGCGGATGTTCTCCGTGTCGGTGGCGCACGTGAAGTGGGAATAGATGATCTTGTCACTGTCGGGGTTCAGGTCCACGAACATCTTCAGGATGAACTCCCGGGCGGCCTGTGCGTCCCGCTGCGGGCCTGGCGGAGGAGGGGGGAGGGGCGGGATGAGCCGAGGGAGCCGCGCAGCCCCCCTGCCCAGCAGCCCCTCACTCAGGCCCACCTGCCAGGCAGACCCACCTCCCACCTCCCTGGCTCCCGCCTCCTCTCTGTCCACCCCCCCCCGCCACTCAGGCATGTGTCCACAGCCCTGCTGCCCCCTGGCAGCCAGCCTCCTGCTCTGGCCTGCCGCCCACCCCACACCCTACCCCACCCCCACCCTCCACCCTACCCCACACCCCGACCCCCCACCCTACCCCACACTCCCACCCCCCGGCCTCCCGGCTCCTCAGGCAGCACCTCCGGGAGACGCCGGGGAGGGAGTGGCAGAGCCCCGACTGCCCCCCAGGAGCGCCCCCAGGGGTCTCCGCGTGGGGGGGTGGGGATGGCAGGAGGGGTCCGGCTCACCCCGTATCCCCCGCGCCTCGCTCCTCCCCGTGCCCGGGCCCTGGGCAGGTGGGGACAGGCTGCCAGGCGGTGACCGCAGGGTGCCCCCTCCCACAGACGACGCTCCCCCGGGGGACACGAAGCTCTCTCCACCATCCAGGGCCCTGCGAGGCGCCTGCCGAGCTCCGGCCACACTAACTGCACCGTGGCCTCCGTGCGGCCTGGGAAACGCCGTCCTCGTGTCACTCCTGAGTCGCCAACGAGGCCACCGAGGCCCAGAGAGGGTGAGGGAGGCGCTGGCAGCGTCCAGGACAGGCCGCTAGGGCGGGCTCACCGTCGAACTCGGGGAAGTAGTCCACCAGGTGGGAGTGGAGGATCTTGTCCTCCAGCAGGTCCTTCTTGTTGAGGAAGAGGATGACGGACGAGTTCTGGAACCAGGGGTAGGTGACGATGGTCCGGAACAGTGCTTTGCTCTCCTCCATGCGGTTCTGAGGGGCAGGCAGCAGGTTGGCGGCAGGTCCCCCAAAAGGGCCTGTGGGCACCCCCCTCCCTGGGCCCAGCGAGGGCCTCACCTCGTTGTCCGACTCCACCAGCACTTGGTCGTACTCGCTGAGGGCCACGAGGAACATGATGGACGTCACGTTCTCAAAGCAGTGGATCCACTTCCTCCGCTCGGACCTCTGGCCCCCCACGTCCACCATCCTGCAGGGCGGGGTGCACGGGCTCAGCGCGGGGCTGCAGATGACAATGCCCACCCCCAGCACAGCCGCCTCTGCCAGAGCCACAGCGACCCCTGAGGCATCAGAGCAACGAGGGCCCCTCAGTCACCTGTCAGAGCCAGCAAAGCCGCAACACCATTAAGCCAGGAGAACACAGCACAAGCAGGGGAGGGGGGACCCCCGAGACAGCCAGGCGCCTGCTTGCCGAGGGAGGGGCCCTGGCCTACAGGGGGCGCCGTGGAGTGTGTGAGGCACAGACCCTGGTGGGGCTGAGCCGGGCGACCTCGGATGTCCCACATCTGGAAACCCGTCTCCCCTTGTTGGATACCACACGGCATCACCTATGAAATGCTGGAACCCACCCCAGCCACGGCGAGAGCAGGCTGCTTGTCCAGTGGGAGATGTCGGCACACAGATGCTGACACCAGGCAGGGCGGGGACACGCTAGGGACAGCGCCCTGACCATCACGACTGGTGACAGGTCCCCGCTTCCTACTTGTGAGTTTCTTAAGTTTTCTTTGACGAGGAAGCCCTCTACTTTTTTTTTTCGGTACGCAGGCCTCTCACTGTTGTGGCCTCTCCCGTTGCAGAGCACAGGCTCCGGACACGCAGGCTCAGCAGCCATGGCTCACGGGCCCAGCCGCTCCGCGGCATGTGGGATCTTCCCAGACCGGGGCACGAACCCGTGTCCCCTGCATCGGCAGGCGGACTCTCAACCACTGCGCCACCAGGGAAGCCCCAAAGCCCTCTACTTTTGAAGACGATGGCGAGAAAGAACAGCAGCCTGAGAAGGCAAGGGTCCCCGGGCCAGGCCCGTCCACAGCTGTTGGACAGTCAGGCAGCAGAGGCCAATCCGCCTGGCGGGGGTTTCTCAGAGGAGGTTCTAGCAAGCACAGGCAGATGGCAGATGTGCCAGGGTGACCTAGGGTATGGGAGGGGGGTGAGTGGACACCAGGCCCACCGGGCTGCCGCTGCCAGCCTGGGGAGCGCGATCGGGCCGACGGCGTCAGGGGCCACAGCCTTTCTGGAGCTGAGTCTCCCCAGTACAGCCAG